TTATGTGTCATGAACGGCAGACATCACTATGAAAGTTGGAATCTGTTTTCTCTTGAAACGAAACGAGAGAAAGTTCCTCCCTCCTGTATTCTCGCACTTTTTCCGCTGAAATCAAAAAGTTCCTACGGTTTCCACCGTCTGTGAAAGCACCTCGACTCCGGCTTGTGCTGCTGCGCTGTGAGCTGGTGCTTTTCACATGTGCCCGAGTCGTGATGAAAACACAGGGTGAGTTAGCGACAAAGTTTACACCGTTTACATTTGACATGAAGTATAGACACACGCACTGCAGCGCATTACTGTCTGTAGTTTATGAGCAGAGATGGAGCAACTCCGTTTGGCTCCCATTGAAAACCATGTAAATCTGGTCTGTTTTGTTGTCAAAAGGCTCTCCTCCTGTGGGTGTACAGGAGATATTATATATATATATATATATATATATATATATATATATATATATATATATAGCTCGTAGTGTGAAAAACCTATGTATTTAAGTATCTCACGAAAAAAGTAAAATGAACTGAACTTTGAACTAGTTCAGAATTAAAAATGTGAACTTTGAATGTGAACTGTTCACTTTGAGCATGTATGAACTGAACTTTAACTAGTTCAGAAAAGCTGTGAACTGGCACAACACTGGCCATGACCCATCAACCCGACCAGCCAACCGACCCACCCACACACAGTCACATCAAATAGGTAAAATAGGTAAGACCATGAAAAGATCTAAAGCCTGGTTCACATGGTAGGATAATTAGGCCGATTTTGGACCCGATTTACCCCTACGACAATCTTTAAAAACGCTCCGATTATCGAAAGAAAAAATCTGATGGATTTTCCTGCCGTGTGTGGTGTCTGCGCTCGTCGCTCTGAAGGACTTTCGGACTGCTCCGATCTCAAATCGGGGATATCCAACACGTTGGATTGTTTTGGCCCGATTTCTCTTTGTGTGTGGTGTCCCCCGGGGACAGACGAGCACGTTGCCATGACTGCGGCGTGTAGCCAATCAGAAGACGAGACAAGGCGGCGAGTAAACTCCGTAAAAAAACAACTCCCCTCCATATCACGATGAAGCAAGTATAGTCCATGCTCGCGTTGTCTACACTTCTTTGACCATCGCCTTTTCTTTTGATTACGTCTTTTCTCAGATAAAAACAAACTATCGCCACTGCATCCTCTTCGTCCGCCATGATTGTTTACTCTGAAGTCACGCTTGATCTCGAGAGATTTTGTGAGATTTCCGTCTGATCTGGGAATGCTCGGGGGGGAAATCGGTTTGTGTGTGATGTGTGTGGTTTGCGTGATTTGGCCGTGTGGCTGCGCACCACACACTGTATGACCAAAGTGGTTAGACCCATGATTTTTGATCTCCATGTGTGAGGTCTCACACAGATAAAAAAAATCAGCCAACAATTTTAAAATTGATTCGTGTGAACCAGGCTTTAGGCAAGGTGTCGGAGTAGCCAGTTGAAGAAGCGTCATCTTAGGAGCTGTCTGCACTAGGAGCAGAGAGCTGCCTGCAGCCCCAGGGGACAACACAGGTCCCAGAGGTGAGAGGAGGCTCCAGACCACCACCAGGTCCGACCACCACTCCCAGTGTACAGGGCTCCTCCAGAGGAAACACTGGGGTGACCAGCCTCACTCACCCTCATGGTTCACTGTCAGACCCATTGAGGCGTTTGTACCTATGCTTCCTTTTTGTGTAATTGTTCTTGTTGAATGTAATGAAACTATTAAATCCGTTGCTACCGGACCTCTTTGCCTTCACTGCTACTTCAACTACATACATGTCTTCTACTGCTGTGTTTAAGTGGCTGGGTTTTGATGTGGTTTGCAGTGTTTTTTTATTTGCATCTGCCACCCACATTTTGTTGCCCTGGAAACCCCTGGCACATGAGGCTGGCAGTTGAGTGAGTGCCCATTGTGTGCACAGACTGTGATGGTTTAGTCTATGATAATACAAAAAAAAGCTCAGTTCTGTCTTTAAACCCTTTGGTCTGACTCCACCCACAGCAGAGGGCACACTCCAGACCTGGTGATTACTAAGGGATAGTATACAATGATAGAGCGACATTGTGGTCAATCCTGCTCTATCGGATCATTTTTATGCCTTTCTTGACCTGTTTGTTACTAGAAAACTTCCTACTGACCCTAAAGTTGTTTAAAGAAGACACATGAACGACAGAACAGGTGCATTTACGGAAAATAAAAAGTGAAAACGTTGTTACTTTTAGGGTTTGGAGCGTTTTTTCCAAGTTCTATATAAACAGTAAAGGGATAAACAAACCCTTCAGCCACATCAAAGTGCAATGACAAGGTTCAAAGAAAGAATAAAATATCTCAAACACCTATTAAACATTGATACTGGACTGTTGATATCTTGGTGATATCAGATCATCTTTATGAAACAGTACATGGTCCACACGCCAAACCAGCATCAGCAGCTGGATGCTTTGGGTCGGACAGACTGTGGAAACTATTGACCGATGGTTTCTGAGACGCAATGAAAAAATAGGTGTGTGCGGTCAGACATTGGAGGCTCGCAGTGACCTCCTGTTGCCCTGCAGACGTCTCGTTCTCATACGGACACATGTAGATTTTTCATTATTAGTCATACACGGGGTAGCAGAGGGACTGAGTGCTTAGTCTTGCTTTTCACATTTCCCTACCACTAAAAACACGTACAATAGGTAAAATCTTCCAACTCTGGTCGTCCTGATCAAGCCGAGCATCAACATCTGGAGATGGGACCCTGGCGGTAGTGCAGGATGGGTCAAATGTAGACGATACATTGTTCTACAGAGATAATATAATATGACTTTGATGAATACTAGATGAATATTATGATGACCTAAAGCAGTTAGGTCTGTGATGACCTATTCTTCAGACAGTCAGAAAAATCCATGTGTCTTATTCTACTGCCCTTTGTAACTGAAACAAATTGTGTTACAACCTTTTGTCTCAATATTACGGTGTCTACTGCATCTTCCAGAAAAGGAAGACAAAATCTTAATGTGAGAGAGGCCAAATGGAAGACTGTCTACTTTTCAACAACACAGTATCAGATGCAAAAAGAGGTGATAATAATAAATTAAGCTTACACTGTTAGGCTATTTTACTGCTGAATCGTTTTCCTGCTGTGAAGCTGCCCTTAATAAGTTTCTTATGCATTGCTTGTAATGAAAACCATAAGGTCAGCTCCTCAAGAACTAAAGCAGAAAACCAACAACGTGAAGAAAAGTTGTTACATGTCTGTGGTCACTCTGAGTTCACTCAACTAGTTCATGTGTAGTTTTTATTGCCTTCGCGTCCGGTAATAAAAAAGTTTTTAAAAACTGGCTCAAATGTGTTCATTTTGATGATCACACAGAAAGTTAAATTTATGGTAAAAACAAAAGTTAGAGGGATTTAATGAACAGCTCAAACAGTATTAAAGAACTAATTCACGAGATAAAATACAACAAGCAGTGAGAAAAAATACAGGTGACTTATTATCCAAAATTATTATTGTTATCCCTTAAATACTCCTGCATATCTGAGTAACTTTTACCTTTCTGAATCCCAAGATCCCATTTTGCAACACCACCGGTACATGACAAGGCAAGGCATGGCAAGTTTATTTTTATAGCACAGTTCATACACAAGTCAACTCAAAGTGCTGAACAAAATTAGATAGAGACAGTCAATCACAAGGCATTCAAGTCACAAATAATCACAGTTAGGACGCCCACTGTCCTTTGCTCACTTTGTTATTTGACTTACACCTATATGTTTTTCCTTTAATATGGCCATTTTAAATCGAATAGATTAAGGGCTATTTTATTTGAATGATCATTTTAGAATACATTGAGATTTCTAATGCGGGTGGGTAAAGTTGCTTAGACTGTCCATATAGTGGGCTTCTTCATTGCAAAATACTTATGACCATTTTCTCCAGGTTGGCTTTCCGATATCAAACAAATTTAAGTTTTTTGAGATTCATAATGTAATCTTGGGAAGGATTACTGGGTGGGTAAAGTTGTCCACATTTTAGACTGTCTTTTATATTCCCAAATATTCATGACCATTTTCTTACTGCCAAAAATCCAGGTTGGCTTTCTATATCCAACAAATTCGAGCTTTTGGACTTCTAAATTTCATGCAGTTATCCAAAGTTTTCCATTCTCAGGTGGACAGGAAACCCAAAGTACAGCTCCATTATGCCATCTCATGATTGTGTTACCATTGAGTCTCCGCAGAAGGCCCCCTAGTTCTGCCCAAAAAACTGGCGATTACTCAACTCTCAGTTCCAGACAGTTTTGCTCATTTTCTCCTTCCATCAACAACAAAAGTCACATTTTACAGCTCACGTCCCTCTGTATGAGTGGAGTAGTGGAAAATGGCAGGAAATAGCAGAAAGGCAAAGGGAAGGCACAGATTGTGTTGTTTGATTGAAAACAGCTTGTTGGTGTTCATTACCGCGATGTTCGGAGGATAGATGAAGGCAAGACCGCAGCTGGGAATTATTTAGTTCTTTGGTCTTTGCCGAATTCTCCGCGATGATTTATAAACTCCCAGCTGTGTCTTTACCCTCGGTGATGATCAGTCACTTTACACGTGTATAGCTTATGTGTGCATATCTCGATACTGTATCAATGTATGTAAGTTTCATTGTCTGTAAATACGATAAATTACACCATCTGTTGTGTTGAACAAAGACGTGAGCTGACGCCAAGCAAAGAAACCTCGCCTGAACCTTTCAGAGCATGACATAATTGTGTAGGGGCCAATCTCTGACAAGAATGTTTTAGGGCCTACAACATCGCAAAAGGCAATAAATCAAAAAGAACCGAATTGAAAACATGGAAAAGGCAATCTTCTCCTGCGGAACATCCAGCACTTTGAGTCGTTAAAGGTGATACCATCAGTACATTTTGCATTACCTTTGATTTTGGAATGAATTCAGTTTATAACACTGTTTAAAGTTCAGATTTCGCGACGTGTGGTGACAAGTGCTGGTAATGGTTTCCTTGGGGAATCCCTGGTGTCAGAAGCAGAGCACAGTTCAGTATCAGGGCTTCGGAGGCTCGGGTCCGCCGTGCTCCACAGGCAGTGCTGGAGACTACACACCACTGCAGTTTGGCTCAGGCTCGGCACCCATCATCTCCTGCTCACGTGGGCCAAACACTGTTGTGTGTACACGGGGCCTCTTTCCTTTCTCTCACTCTTCTCAGCCTTCACTTTCAAGTTCTCTTGCGTAATATTGGGTTTAAAAAAATCTCTAGTCTGTGTACCAGCCCCCACACTGCTCATACAGACCAACTGTAAACTCCAAGCACCATAAAGGCAAACAATAGCAGCAACAGAAAAACATAAAAATATAGCTGTGGGAGAAAGACGACAATAAGACGCTTTTAGCTATGTTTACTTTGGGGGAATGGGTTTCTCCAACTGCCAGAACATTTGAGTAAATATCTGGTGAACAGCTTTGTAAATTAGTTTATTATATTCTGTCAGTATTGTAGTGTTTATCGGGTCGTATCCTGCATGAGTGAGAGATACACCCAGTTTCATTTCAGCCAACTCTGTCTTCCAGCAAATGTTAGTTTCTTGTTCAGCCATTACTTATATCTTAGTAGGAGCTTTATGTGATTACTGATCCCCACGGTTAGAAAATGTGGATTTGAGCGACCGAAATGATAAACACACAAAGAATAAATGACTATATCAAATCGCGCATGATGAGAAAAAAGGGTTTCTGGGTAATGATGTCGACATGATAAATGTTTGTTTACTTTCTCCGCATTCTTTCGGATGTAGTGGTTCATACATTAATGTGCTTACAGTATAGCCGCATATATTCTCCACAATGTTTTTAGCCATTATTTCTACTGCTGATGTGTCACCAGACCCCCGTTATTCTGACCCCCCCCCACCATACACATACACACACACACACACACACACACAAACACGCGCGCGCACACACATACACACACACACACTGCAGCTCATAATGTTTCCAGATGTGAGTGGGGATGATGTCATGGCAGACCGGAGGCTTTGGAATCTCCAGCTTCTTTTCTTTCCAACGACGGAGAAAAGGCGGAAGAAACACATCACAAATCTCAAATGGAGAAACGAGAATCATCTTTCTCTGATTAGAAGTTCTGAGGCTTTCATCAAGAGGGTTCTAAATATTTTTATTCCACCACATGTCAAACATGAGTGTGTACACAAATGGATCTTTTTGTCTTTTGTTTCAGAATGCTGTTATAAAGTGGATTCCGAACATCCTTGGACAGCGTGGACGTCAGCTGGCAACTCTGAGGTTTAACTATCAGTGAAGGCAGAGGAGGAGGAGGGGGACGGTCTGTTGTTGTGGTCGCCTAACAACCTTTGCTACCAAACATGAAAAAGATATCTGTATACGTACATACAGAGAGAGAGAGAGATAGAGAGAGATGGAGACACAGAGAGATAGAGACACAGAGAGATACAGCAAGAGAGACGGAGAGAGAGAGAGAGACAGCAAGAGAGACGGAGAGAGAGAGAGAGACAGAAAGAGATGGAGAGAGAGAGACAGAGACAGATAGAGATGGAGAGAGAGAGAGAAACAATGAGAGGGAGAGAGGAGAGAGAGTCACAGAGAGACAGCAAGAGAGGGAGACAGAGAGAGACACAGAGAGAAAGACAGAGACAGTGAAAGAGAGAGGGAACACAGAAAGAGACAGAGAGAGATACGGAGAGAGAGAGAGACACACAGAGAGAGGAAGAGAGTGACAGAAAGGCATGGAGAGAGGGAGAAACAGATAGACAGGGAGAGAGACACAGAGAGAGAGAGACATACAGAAATAGTGACAGAGAGAGAGAAAGAGACGGAGAGAGAGAGACAGAGGTTGTGAAAGAGAGAGAGACACAGAGAGACACGGAGAGAGGGAGAAAGAAACAGAGAGAGGGCGAGAGAGACAGAGAGAGAGAAAGAGAGAGATGGGGAGAGACGGAGAGAGAGAGAGAATTTGAAATGTCCCTAAAAGTCATACTTGAGCCCCTTCAAAAAACTTTCATAACTTTATTGAACATTCACAGTTATTAAAATTTAAAGTGATAATGCATAAATCTTTATCTCTGCCTGTGTCCCTACTGTACATAAAGAAGGACCACATTTGACAAGACATTTGACTCAGTCTGATCTCCCGCTGGGACTGTAGGACCCTTTACGCTCATATTCAACATGAGTTTGTGAAACTTTGGTCTAGTTTCCTGAACGTGATCTCACTGTTACTGCTTTGCTCCTCCTCACATTCATATTTCTCTGAGCCTCGGTGCTTCACAAAGCCTTTTCCTTGTTAGCACCATGGTCTTGGCATCATTTACAAAAATAACTCAAATAGGATCGAACACATTGTAAAAAATGCAGTGATGGAGAAATGTGTTTTTTCACGAGATGGTGGTGCAATTAAAATCACACTTTTACATGATCCTGTGTTTTGTGCTGTGTATTCCAGTAGGGGGAGCTCCATGGGGGGTGAATGGAAAACTGCTGTGGAAAACCCTCAGACTCAAAGTCACATTGTGTCTCATTATCCTGATCTGAGCCATTTTCATCTCAATAACATCAACATGTTATTGTTCAAATGTAAATGAGGTGTAGTAGGTTGTGTTTATGTTCTGCAGTTACATTTCAGATGGAGGCAGGAGCCAAAATCATTTTTTTTCCTTCCAGATTATAAATTGATTGTGAAGTCTGACTTTTGATACAGGAATGATTTATCAGCTGCCCCCACCACAAATGAGACGAACTATAGACTCCTAAAACATTGTTCGGAAATTATTTTCTTCCGGGGGCCACAATGGAATAGCGTGAAAGGCCAGCCCTCTTGTTAATCTTAAATATATTTTTAGAAGAAGAAGAAGAAGGTCCTTTATTTGTCCGACAATGGGGAAATTTCAGTTTGACGCATACACATCGAGGCAAGCGGCGAACATCACTTCCGCGCTCCTCATAGACAAAGTGGGTTAAGTGTCTTGCCCAAGGACACAGACATCAGTGGAAGTCGGCGGAGAAGGTCTTGTGGTGGGCTCGAACCCACGACCTTCGGGCTCAAAGGCCAATACTCTACCAACTGAGCCGCTGTCACCCCAAAAAGCTACTTCATTATTTACATGTAAAAAATATATGAATAGATTTTTACAGATATTTAGATATACAGAATAAACGTGTGACAGGCCATGGCAGCACATAGTAAGTTCCAAGTCTTCATTGCGTATTGACTTCAGATTCATTTGAATAAACAACAGACTGGTATGAGGAAGGGTCCGCACAGAAATGTGAACCGGGCCGGATGTGGCTCCCCGGCCCGCACTGTTCCCAGGTCTGCTTTAGAATGTTGTGATCTTCATAATTGTGGATTGTGGAAATGTTTGCCACAGTTAACTGGACAAGATCACCGGAATGTTCCTTTGGTGCGGCTGTTGCCATGGCTGCGGAAAGGCTGCTTGCATGACAGACACTACTTGCTTTAATGATAGATTGATTGTTACAAAGTTATATTTCAACAAAACTTAAATAAATTCAATACAATTCAATGAGATTAAAATTTTTTGTTGTATAGCCATAAATCGCAACAGTAGTGGTCATGGAGGACTTACAGACAACGTTAAAAGACAGAGAATCAAACAGTTTGAATACCTAAACACTAGTGATTAAAGTCATTCAAGGCATTTTGTAAGTTAAGTGAGGTAAGGACACTCTACCGTAGAGCAGTCAAGTCAAACTCAGGCTCGTGGGCCAAATCCAGCCCGCAAGACCATTTTAGTGGCCCCTAAAATCATTTTCAGTTATTATTATCTTGCATTCATGTTTATGGGCTTCCAAGGCATATGAATAATATATACATAATCTATTATCTCCGGAAAACAACCAAATGTAATGCATTCTGAAAAGAAATATACCGAAAAGAGAAAAAGAAGGAAGTGAAAAAATTAGTCCTTTATTCAAATGGACTGCCTACGTGTTTCGACCAAAAGCGGTCTAAATAAATAATAAATAATAATAGTGAAATGTCACATAAAAGTCACGTTAAAATAATTTCTATTCTTTCGGCTCCTGATTTTTTTTTTTTTTTAAACCTACTGTCGAGAAATGTATCTTCTGCATTTGACCCATCCTTCACAACTATGAAGCAAAACCAAGTAAAACTTTTTTTTGGTGGTGCTCCAATACTTTCTTGATAATCCACCTGGGATCAGAACAAGTGGAAAGGCAGAGTTTAAGCATTTAATGAAGAAGAAAAAAGGGGTAATTGCAGCAGAACAGGAGCCATGGGACTCCGCAGCGACAGGGCTCTTAATCACAGCTGCTTCACAAAAGGGCGGAGGCCATCTCTGCTGAGGCCTGACTCCCAGAACCAACATCCTTCACTGTACAGATGTAGAGTTGTTTTTTTGAAAAGCTATGTATTCATGTTAGTGTTAATTTCCCACAGGGCGGTGTCTGCAGCAGGCTTGTTAACACGGGGAGCGTCTGCCAAAGTGTCGCTGAAGTGAACTCATATCGAAGGATTATCGTCTTTTGACTTTTGAGCCAAAACCAGAATTTGTTCCTAGTGAAAAATTGGCAACGTTTGAAAATATCGGTTTCGGTTACAATCTTATAAGTTTGTGCCACACCGACTGCGGGCTGCTGGAGCTGGTTGTTATGATGATCAAAAGTTATAAGACACATAAGATACACAACATATACAATATAAGTAGCTACTATGTTTCTTAAAGTGATAGTCTGGAACTCTAAATTAATTACACATTTTAAGAATTGTAATAAATTGACCTCCTGGCCTTCAATGTTGAAATAAAATAAGTCATTTTATGAATTCTAATATTACGGGCAAGTCCCGCCTTCCCTTCTCTTAGCTATAGCACAAAATCCACGATGCCGTCCACGTTAACCAATCGAGTCATGCCAAGGGCTGTCAATCATCGGCGCTGATGCTCGTAGCTGCTCATGCTCACTTTTCACGGAGCATTGGAACTACATGAAAACTGAATGAAGAATTCTGAACATCCGCGCTGAGTGACCCATTTATATACTGAACCTATATCCATAATCAGATCCTCTACAGATGTGTCCTAAAATGTTCAATTAATGATAATAGTTACTTCCGGGTTTACCGCGATCGCTTTTTTTGTGCATAAAAACATTATTTTTGTCATGAAAACGTTAACAAATGATTCTGAAAACCTCTGTGCATGTGTATTATTAAGGTATATGTATAATGTGTTCTCCTATTAACATTTAAATGTGTTGATTGATTGTTACGGTAACGTAGGCGTAGACCAATCAGAAAGGAAGGGGGAGGAGCTTGGGTCATTTTTTTCAAATCATGTACCTCTCTTTTCTCTGACAAACTCCAGACAATCACTTTAAGTAGCTGTAAATGTTGTAAATGCTTCATTACCTGTCTTTTTTTTAAAAAAAAAGTCATATTTATGAGTTATATACTGTAAATATAGACCAGGATAATAAGTAGATAAAGTAAAGTGACATTGTACAGTGACATGCTGGATATGAACATTGTCAGAGAAGAGGCCTGTCTCACATTTTCAGGAAAACTGCTCCAGATTCTAGCAATATGAATCTGAAAAGCAGCCTCCCCATGTTTAGTCCTGACTCTGGGCACTAACAGGAGGCCAGTCCCTGTGCTCCTCAGAGTCCGGGCTGGTTCATATGGTACTAACATGTCACAGATGTGCTTTGGTGCGAGGCCATGGAGAGACTTGTAACAAGCAGAGCTGATTTAAAATCTATTCTCTGAGCCACAGGAAGCCAATTTTCAAACCACAAAATGTAATAAAACAGCTAAATTGTTCCTTGCTCTCAAAACAGATTGGTTCTATCACTAGTTTTCACAAGTATGTACTGTATTTTTTTGGCTCTATCACATTATTCGCTCTGCTTCGTTGGGAGAAAAACGTGAAAAAGACAGAACCGACATTCTCAGACAATCGGCTCTGAGCCTAAAGCGTTTTTAAATATAGTACTTTCTGGATTATTAAAGGAGCTATACCCAATTGTACAAGGTTTGAATGTTTAGCACTGCCCCCCAACTCGCTCACAGGCTTCTCATTTCCCCTACGCTCTCATTCCACGAAGCCATCTGGATTTATTTGCGATCTATATGCAAACATTAGCATGAGCACAACTTAAGCTGTACAACAATCACTGCTAACAAAATATAACTGAATGATTACCGCTAGTTCCGCGTCCGAATGTAGTCGGAGGCGGTCCCGCAGGTCTCTCCCATAGACAAGTCTCTCCGGAGGATACGTTGTAAGCTAGCTATGTTCACCAGGGCTTGATTTCTTCTCTGATCATGTTTTGGCTTTAGTTCCGTCTTCTTTTCCTCACTGTTGTGTCGTTTGGGCTGTTTTGCTGTGTCTGCAGTTACCAGTGTTGTGCGTGAACGAGTTCAAAAGAACGCGTTCATTGAACACGCTCATTTTTTCGTGAACGTTGAACTGAACGCAACACATTTTTTTAAAAAGAACTTGAACGTGAATTAGTTCATTTTATGTGTCTTGAACGGCAGACATCACTATGAACGTTGGAATCTGTTTTCTCTTTTGAAACGCAACGAGAGAAAGTTCCTCCCTCCTGTATTCTCGCACTTTTTCCGCCGAAATCTTAAAATTCCTACGGTTTCCACCGTCTGTGAAAGCACCCCGACTCCGTGTTGCGGTGCGGCGCTGTGAGCTGGTGCTTTTCACATGTGCCCGAGTCGTGATGAAAACACAGGGTGAGTTAGCGACAAAGTTTACACCGTTTACATTTGACATAAAGTATAGACACACGCTCTGCAGCGCATTACTGTCTGTGGTTTATGAGCAGAGATGGAGCAACTCCGTTTGGCTCCCATTGAAACCTTGTAAATCTTGTCTGTTTTGTAGTCAAAAGGCTCTCCTCCTGTGGGTGTACAGGAGATATATATATATGTATATATATAGCTCGTAGTGTGAAAAACATATGTATTTAAGTATCTCACGAAAAAAGTAAAATGAACTGAACTTTGAACTAGTTCAGAATTAAAAATGTGAACTTTGAACGTGAACTGTTCACTTTGAGCATGTATGAACTGAACTTGAACTAGTTCAGAAAAGCTGTGAACTGGCACAACACTGGCAGTTACAGCCAGAGGAGTTATAGCCACTTTCCGCTAACATGCTACTGTGTTTAGCAGCGCTGTAGAGGCAAGAGGACACAGCCTTGTTCTGGGATTGGAGGAGAGCGGGCGTCACGCTAAAGTCTCTACTCATCACTTTTTACGGCCTGAATTCATGCACAGCTGAATCAATGAGCCCAAGTTTTCAATTAAATTACAGATTATAATACAACTTTTATATAGTAATAAGCATTTTTATTATATGACTTGGACCGTAGGCGCGCTCTGATTGGCTGATTACCGGTCTGATATTTTCCCATACTTTGTATTGGTAAAGACACAGACGAGAGTCATATAATAAAACATTTATTAACCTTGCTTGCTCGGTTAATAAGCTGTTATTATGAACTCATTAAAAGAAAATCGGGTATAGAATCTT